GAGAGAGAGAGAGAGAGAGAGAGAGAATGAGTTAAAATCACCGACAGTTAAGCCAAACACACGGCCAGAGAGAGTGGGCCGAGACATACCTTGAGGGGAACGGCCGGGTATTTGAGCGTCAAATGATTGCGGAAAGCCTTTTGAGTGCACTTCTCGGCGGTCCAGAGCTGTCGCAGCATTCGTTGGTCCCTTAGGGCGAGCGCCACATCCATGTCAGTGGCGTTGAGTGAGTGCGGCAACAGTTGGTGCGCCATCTGATTGGTCAGCCGGCGCTCGCGGGTGTGGATCGGCCACCGGTTCCACTCCACCGTACAGTGGATCACATTCGCCGAACAGTGGAACAGATGGGCCGACATGTCTCGCCGGTAGACCAGCGCCGGACACCCGTTACACCAATTCAGGCATTGAGTCTATGGGAGAGAGAAAGAAACAGTAGTTTTAGTGGCGATGCTTGGGATCAGGTGCTGGTGATAGTAGTAGTGATGACAGACCTTTTGGTGAAGACAAATGGACAGGTGTTCAGTGAGTTTGCATTTGTGCATCACTTGCGGACAGTCTTTGCTATCGCATGAGACGAGTGGACACACGACGTGGCCATTGGTTTGCGGACCAGTAGTGGCGGTCATCGCCGGTGTCTTTGTCCGACACACCGACGGCTTAATACACGTCTCGCAGTGTTTGTGAATCATGTCTTCAATTGTCATATGATTTCTCGGATGTATAACAAGTGATAACACAATGAAAACACAGTATAAACAGTGATATCACTGATTAATAGTGTTATAAAACACTTAATTAAATGTTTGTTTTTTACTGTATTTTTATTGTATTTGTTATGCAATTAGTGTTGAAAACACATAAAACACGGCATTAATTGTTTAGACTATGTTTCCACTGATGACTGACTTGAGTTGAGTGGTGTTGTGTGTCATCCGAGTTGTCAACACATTATTATTATTATTTGGTTTTGAATCAAAATTTTTGATTATTACTTGTTTTGCGATAAAATTGATTTAATACTGAATTTACAAACTATTTATAAATTATTGTGTGTTTTATTGTCACTTAAAAACACACACAAATGAAATCAAGTGAACGAGTAATGAATATTGAAGTTTTGATTCAATTTATTTGTGGTTTTTTGATTAAAAACAAATCATTTGATGTTTTCGTCGGTTTACGTCTCGTATGATATGTTTGTGTGACTCAAGTTCATAGTAGTGTCACATGTTTCCCCATATTACTGCAATCTTCCCCTAATATTTCCAACACTTTATTTTGTAATTTTAAGAATAATCAAAATTGATCATTTTTAAACGTTACTGCTTGAAGGTAAGATTTTAGTTAATTGTTTCTACTTTTATCACTTTGCTTGAACTTTGTTTATTAATAAATAACCTTGTTAATCAGTAAATTATGTTGCGGGATAATATTTAAAAATACAATTTTTCTCAAGTTAAACATTTTAACCGTTTCTATAGTAACGCAATAGAAACCAGTGTTTGACGCACTTCAGCGCTATTCACAAACAACATAACAAATTATATGCCAACACGACTTTAGCCCCTAAACATTACAGTAAAAGTAATTTAAAGTAGTTTAAAAGTTAACATCAAAACTTATGCAATATCCAACAAGTTAAAAAACTGTTATTTATTAACAAAAACTAATCATAGGTAGGTTTTTAAAATAAATTATAATAGATAAAACAATTATTTAAACATTAGACTTGGTAAGTTTTAATCAGGACAATGTGGATTGATAAATATAGCATTAAAACAAGCGCCGCGTGGGTTAGACCACCGCTGCCTGTTGTTGTTGCTGTTGCTGTTGACCCGCCGCGCCTACAACACCGCCATCGATACCAACACCGACTCCGGCCTGTTGTTGCTGCTGCTGCTGCTGTTGCTGACCAACGGCACCGACACCTACCAGACCACCCGCCAGACCAGCCGCCTGTTGTTGTTGTTGTTGCTGTTGTGCGCCAATACCGCCGTCCACTCCACCGACGGCCTGTTGTTGTTGCTGTTGCTGTTGACCGATGGCACCCACGCCTCCTAAGCCACCAATAACGCCAACACCTCCCGCGCCGGCTATTTGCTGCTGTTGTTGTTGTTGTTGTTGCGCTACACCTCCTATGCCTATAAGAATTAAGTGATTTAAATTAAGTATTAGTTATAATGATATATTATAACTAATACCAAGATCAATAGATTTGGTATAATAAGGGTGATTTATACTGTCATTAAATTAAATGCTAATTTATCGTAATTAAAAATTAATACCCAAATCGTATTGCAGAGACGGTATATACAAGTTAATTAAAAATTGGTGTACATATTACATAACATATTATGTAACATCTGCCATATACTATACATATTGAGTCTAATATTAGATGTTAACGATAACTATATTGAGTAGTGATATGTTAGTAGATTTATTGAACATTACCGGCGCCGCCAATCTGTCCCTGCGCTTGAGCCTGGCCTTGAAGGCCGCCAAACCCTGTGCCCAAACCACTGGCGCCCTGTTGTTGTTGCTGTTGTTGTTGGGCTCCCGCCTGTGCGCCATAAAAGCCGTTTCCGCCTATTCCTCCAATTCCTGCGCCCACTTGTTGTTGTTGTTGCTGCTGTTGTTGGCCACCGATACCGCCGACACCTCCGACCCCACCGGCCAACTGTTGTTGCTGTTGCTGCTGTTGTTGGCCACCGACACCTCCGATACCAGCGACCCCACCGGCCAACTGTTGTTGTTGTTGCTGTTGTTGTTGGCCACCAAAACCAGCGGCTCCTCCGGACTGCTGTTGCTGTTGTTGCTGCTGTTGTTGAGCGCCGTAACCTCCGTGCCCTCCAACTCCTCCACCCAGTTGTTGCTGCTGTTGTTGTTGCTGCTGTTGGCCTCCATAGCCACCATAACCTCCGACACCTCCGGCCTGTTGTTGTTGCTGTTGCTGTTGCTGTTGACCCCCATAACCCCCGGCACCCCCGGCCAGCTGTTGTTGTTGTTGTTGCTGTTGTGCGGCTCCGTAACCGCCGCCAATCCCAGCCAACTGTTGTTGTTGTTGCTGTTGAGCGGCACCGCCGTACCCGAGGCCACCCCTATAACCGCCAATACCGGCTGCGATAGCCTGTTGTTGTTGCTGCTGCTGTTGGGCACCACCGACACCCCCCACACCCCCGGCCATCTGTTGTTGTTGCTGTTGTTGGGCCGAAATGCCACCAAAGCCATTGGCCACGCCATAGCCCCCGGCCCGGGCGATCGCTTGTTGCTGTTGCTGTTGTTGGCCAACGAAACCACCGGCCGCTCCGTACCCGGTGCTCACAATTTGCTGTTGTTGTTGCTGTTGCTGAAGTAGCTGTTCCTGTTGCAAAATGGACTGGTACTGCGCCCGCAACTGTGCCAACTGGTTCTGCAACTGTATGATCTGGTCCTCGATGTGCCGGTGCTGTTGCAGCAACTGTTGCTGCTGTTGGAAGAATTGAGTGCTGGACACACTCGTGACGGACTGGACGGCCTGTTGTTGCTGTTGTTGCTGTTGTTGGGCAACCGATTGGGCAAAGCTTGACGAGCGTAATGCCTGTTGTTGTTGCTGTTGCTGCTGTTGGTGAATAGCGGATTGACTGTAGGCCGAGTTGACTCCGTAAGCGTTGTTGACCGCCCCGTAGCCCGACTGGCCGTATGCGTTGTTGACCGCTCCGTAGCCCGACTGGCCGTAAACGTTATTGCCGTAGATACCGCCCGAGTTGATACCATTACCGCCAATGAAACCACCTGAGCCACCACTGGTACCATAACCACCCGCTGTGTTGCCACCAGTGACAGTGCCGAGAGCATTGCCAACAACATTGCCGAGCCCACCGCCCAACACACCTGTGCCCGTATGAGCCAAACCACCCATTAAGTTGCCGCCCATTGAGGTGCCGCCGGTGAGAGCCGTCTTAGTGCCGTCCAACAAAGTGCTAACACCAGTGCCTAACGCGCCGCCCAACAGACCTGTGCCGCCACCGCTGCCTAACGCGTTGCCCATCAGACCTGTGCCGCCACCGCTGCCTAACGCGCCGCCCAACAGACCTGTGCCGCCACCCAATGCGTTGCTTTTTTGATTACCGGTCAGCCCGTAGTTGAGTCCATCAAGCAATGTGCCCACACCGCTGCCTAACGCGCCGCCCAAAAGACCTGTGCCGCCACCGTTGCCTAACGCGCCGCCAAACAATCCCTGTTGTTGTTGTTGTTGTTGTTGTTGGTCACCCATTGGTCCGCCAATGCCACCATTACCAAAGGGGTTCGGGCCGAAGTTACCAAAGGAGTTTGAGCCACCATTACCAAGGGCGTTCGAGCTACCGGTCAGACCATGGCTCAAACCACCCAATAAGGTGCTCACACCATCACCCAGTGCGCCGCCTAACAGACCACTGCCCCGTACGGCACCCGACGTACATAATAAAGCTGTTATAAAAATCGCCAAATTCATTTTAAAATCTCCTTTTTTGAGCTAGATTGAACTAATGGACACAAAAATAAATAGTTAACGTGGTTAATTATTTAAAAAATGAAGGTTATAGCGCACTGTGATACCGGTGCGGTAAACTATCTATGTAGACCCAATTGTTTGGACTATAATACCTGTAAAAATGATAACTTTATGGTGAATTTTATTTATTGTAAATTTAATTTAAACACACAATTTAGCTGCAAATATGGGACCAAATTTTAATTAAACTACACTTTTTTGCCAACACATCGTATCCTATTACGTAAATTTTAGTAGTTTTTATAATTAATTTTAAATTATTAATGTTTCTTAATTTTAGATATAGTTTTAATTATTTATTGTGTAGTATTTGATGCAAATATGTATAAATGAATGACGTTAATTAGCAAATTGGATTTTTATTATTTTATTTGTTTAATCATATTTAAGAATTGTTTTATTGCATATTTTAAAATTTTATTAATTTTAGATAATTAAATTTATTCATTATCTTAATTCTAATTTAGTTTGTTTTGCAAAATGTAATAGGAAACACAAATTACAATTAATCAAGTTTAAAAATATAATTAAATGATTATGTATTATAATTTCTAAATTAAAAATCTAAATGAATATCAAGCTTTGCATTTTAAGTCGTGAGTTAATTGTCACTATCGTTTTGATTAAGCTACAAACATAATGTATAAAATACTTAATTTATAAAATATTATAATAAATAGTAATTAACAGAAAAGTTATGATAATTGAAATAATCAACATCTGTTTGAGTATTACATAGACAAAATAAATTGCAAATTATGATAGTAATACTAAATTTTAGCACATAAAACAAATAACACAAATAACCAATTTATTATAGCATTAAATTAATCAACATAAAATGTATAAGCTAGATAGTAAATAAATGTCACTTTTGCACATGTGATTACGGAACAGGACACTTTATAAATGTCAATGATTGTCATGTTTTTAGCGCATGGACTATTTTCACAAAAAAGTTACAATTAGCAGAATTATGAATAGCATAAAAAGGGTAAATATTTTTTGAACAAAATCATAAAATACAATTCAATCAATAAATAGTGTCTCAAATAAACAAATTACAAAATGTTAGTCACTATTGTATTAGCCCTGATGGGTGTGTGTGGGCCCGCATCGTGTGATTGGGTGGAGGTCTGGAGGGATGACTTTAACGGCAGTTCCTTAAACTTAAATAACTGGAAGTTTGAGACGGGAGGCGGCGGTAAGTGTGCACTATTGTTATGCAAATGTCATTAATCAGGGTATAAATGTGTATTTAATAATTATTTTTACATTGATAAAATAATTTGCAGGCTGGGGCAACAACGAGCTCGAGTATTACACCAACGACCAGAACGTGGACGTAAGCAACGGCGCGCTGACCATAACGGTGAAAGTGGAAAATAACGGTGGTCAGAGTTATACATCTAGTAGGCTTAATTCAATACCAGCTTGGACGTATGGCTATTTCCAGGCTCGGGCCAAATTGCCCAAAGGCCAGGACCTGTGGCCCGCCATTTGGCTCTACCCCCAGAGCGACACATACGGCGGATGGTTAGACAATGCAATTAATTTTACCACATTACAATATATACAGTACATGTAACTTTAAACTATACATTATATTATCTATAATATAACATCAGGGCGGCCAGCGGTGAGATCGACATCATGGAGTACAGGGGCCAAGTGGTGAACACGACTGAAGGCACCCTATGGTACGGCGCTCAGTCGCCTAACCAGGTGTCGATGGGCAGCGGCGACACAGCCTTTTTCTATGACTTTAGCGCCGACTATCACGTGTTTGGTATGCAGTGGACCAATACGTCCATCAGTTGGCTGGTGGACGGCCAACAGTACTACACGATCAACATTAACCAAAACCTGTCTAACGGCGCCCCCTATACGGCCAATGGCCAGCCCTTCGATAAGCCCTTCTATTGGGTGCTCAATGTGGCCGTTGGCGGCGACTATTTCCCGGCCAATGTGTACGGCCCGCCGGTCACCACAACACAGGCCAGTCAATGGCCGCAACCATACCTGCAAATTGATTACGTGAGTGTCTCTCAGTGGCAAAACAATGGCCCACAAAGAAATTTGCAGAGATTTAGACCGAGAAATTTCCAGTGAAGTGTACGGGTCTACACAAAATATACGGTATATACAGTAAAAATAACAATGAATAAATAAAATAATTAAAATATTATAAAATATATTTACTCTGTATGTAGACTGTACAGTATACTATGCTAAACTATGCCAAGTCTATACGATTGTTATCTGGTATAACTTAATAAATTATTAATAATCGTATCGAAGTATACAACATTGTATGAACCCATTATGCTATAATATGTTGCACAATACTTTATTAATCACTTTATTAATTATAAATATAGTGATTAATTATAAATGTTGTTATTTTCTATTTAAGATGTTTATAAAGTACGATAATAAATTGCAAAATTTTAAAAATTGACTTTGGGTGTTTACACATTAGATTCTAACATAACTCACATTATGGTAAAAATAATAATTAATTAATCGAAACAGAAAATAAAAGTAAGTCATACGTATATTAATGTAAACATGTCAATGTTTTATTTAATAAATTACAAAATATTGTAATATGTTAATATCAAATATTATGTTAACGTTAATATAATAATATAAATATTTTTTATCGCATATTATTATAGATTAAATATATTAATATAATTAAAATATATTGATCTTTTGAAATGTTGTGAAAGGAGATGTCAAATAAGTTATTTGAAATAACATTAATATAAGATAATAATAATAATTATTATTATTATAAAGTAATATTTGTTTTGATTTAAAAACATTATTTTAGATTAAACCCCACAATAAAAACATTATAAACTTTATATTAAATACAAAATTGATTGATATAATGGATAATTATTGCATTATATTTAATACAAGCAACTTAATTACGGATAAAAATTATACCAATAATAGCTCACAGATTATCATTGGTTTAACATCTGCTAAGGTAAATAAATAAATTGCAAATTAGTTAATAACAATAAACATAAAGTTAGCCTGATTATTATGTTACTAATAAATACGCATTTTGTTAAAAATAATATCAATTAATTATCTTGATAGTTGATTGAAGCTGGTAAAAACCTTATGGGTAAATTATGTCATAAATCAACTTATATTTTCCCAATGATAGAAAAATATTTAAAATTAAGGTTATTTTTGAATTGAATAATTTATATTTAATTTCTTAAAATGTTAATTATTAATATTTATTTACAATAATAGTCTACGATTACGTTTAATGAATAGTATGAGTGATGCCATGAAGTACCTAAAACATAATGTAAGTTAAAATACAATAATGTTTATAATAAATTTTAAAATTCCAGGAGTACGATGTGCTGCTTTCAAGTACAATAATTGATCATAAGCGATTAAAAGAAGTAGACTTTTCCCCATTATATAACGTAAAATTTTCATCGATATTGTATTCGCGGTTGAGTTACGCCTCGACCGACACTTTACGCATATTTCGTATTTTCCCGAAACATATTTGGGTTCTTATATTCGTCTCCTATTTATCACTATTTCTATTCA